CGTTTCGTCGAATTCCTTACGAACAATCATGAATACAAGAAGATTTTTAATATAGTAGTAAGGACGAACCGAAGGCTGCATTTCTTTCGACGTGAATGATCGCCTCAATTTCTGTTTGCATATTCAGGCGCGATCATTCGTGAAAAAAACGAATATTAAGATTAGCCGGATATTCCATTGCGCGATTTATTAAAATTCCGCCGACGATTATAGACGATCGACTCGAAGGGACTCTTCCGTTTTATTTTTGGTATCGGTGTTATTTGATCATCGAATCTCCAAGAATCTTGAGAAAGAGAATTTTGATTCCAAGAGAAGACGAATGGACGAGGGACGAATGTGGTTTATTTTTGTATCATCGATTCGATTTAATATAAAGTCTTCTATTTTTAGGGAATTGATAGAAGAATATTGATAAAAAATTGTGTTTCATAATTTTAAAAATAAACTTACGACGAATAAACAGCTCGATGACTCGATTCGTTCGTCCACGATCAAATGTATGTAATTGGAATAACGATTTTAAGTAAGTTGATTTTTATAATATGTTTTCCAATCTCGAAGAATCTCGAAGAAAAATTTTCATCCGTGATAAATGTTCGAAATTTTCGCCAGGAAATTAAAGATTGTTTGGCGGGAATTTTGAACTCTTGAATTAATTCCCGTAAAACTAAAGTGTTTTTTAAAATTTTAGAATGAGGATAACGATATTCCAATCGCGAGGAAAAACAGATATTTCTTTTTCGTGTTGATTCAACCACTATATACCAACAAAATACATCGTTGTTCTTCAAATGTTGTTTTATTTCGTGTTTGATCACCGAAAAATTTGAAACATCCGCGAGAAAATTTCTATCAGTTTTGTTTAAAATAATATTAGATTCGAAAACACGTTTCGTCGTTCATATTTTTTCTATTACTTTGATATTTATCTTCATCGCTCTTATAATTATCAGTTATCGGATTATACTATATGTGATTATCGTTTTTATATCGTTATATAGGTCGAAATAAAAATATTATTTTAAAAGATCAAGCTATTTTTATTTATTAACAAAATGTCAAGAGCAACTAATTACCTTTTTATCTTCCCTAACGAGATACAATATAATATTCCGTAATTAAAAGATTTGTACTCTTTTTTTTTTTTTTCCTTTTTTTTTAATATATTGTTTCGCAACTTATTGCGTTCTATTCTCCAAAAGAGTTTCGTGTGAATTGCATAAACATCCACAGTTTACGAATAATTCGTGATCTTTGGGATACGAATATATTTGGAAATAAAATTCTCGAGAGTAATTCGTTTAAAAATAATTTTCACTCTCAACGTATAGAAAAATAACTCTGGAGGCGAAAGAGAAAAGGACAATCCACGATATTTCAACAAAATATCGCGCTATAGAAAATGATGAGAGTGATTCTGAGAGAATTTTCACTCTCATTGCAGTTTCCACTCACGAAGAATAAATTTCCAAAGCAATTCGTATCCAAAAAATTATATATAGAGAAGAATTTTTATTTTCAATTTTTTATTCACGAAAAATACTTTTGAGAGCAATTCGAATCTTAGAAATTGTATTGAGAGTAATTTTCACTCTCAATCCAATATCTATTCGCGAAAAATAATTTTTGAGAGCAATTTGTATTCTAGAAACTATACTGAGAGTAATTTTCACTCTCAATCCAGTATCTATTCGCGAAAAATAATTTTTGAGAGCAATTCGTATCCTAGAAACTATAATCTAGAAAA